GTGACAAAGTAAAGCGCGCTCAACGACATGCAGATGAAACTAAAAGAAAAGGCACAGGAGTTGGTGGAAATGAAAGAGTAGTTCAACGCACACCATTTAATAGCAAAAAAAAGAGTCGAAGTACAACGCCATCACTTGGAATTCCTTTGCAGTGAAGGAGATGAAGATCAAATGAAGAAGGATTTGACAATTATTCGGACTAGTGAGGAAGATTTGGAACCCGAGATTTGGAAGTGCTTCATGCGATGAAGGAGAAAACCCACAAACGATATTTGAACTAGACCTATCGTATCGTTTTTATGTTTTTAAATTATGATTATTGTAATTTTTTCTTGTAGTGTTTTTTTTTTGTAATGTTATTTTTTAGTTTTAAAATATTATGTTAAATTTAGGATTTATTTAAATAGCATGTTTTAATTAAATATTAGTTTTTATAAATATTAAAACATAAATCGAAAAAAATAAAAAATAAAAAAATAATGACCTGAGAATTAATGAGTGTTAAAACATATTATTTATTTTTCAATTGGTGTTATAACATTATGAGTGATAAAACATGTGAAGTGAAACCTTTTTGATGTAATAACATGCCTTAACATATTGTCCACCTCTAGTACCCTTAGCCTAATAACATTGTTAGAATTTTTTGTTAAAATTGATATTTTTTTTTTTTGGTCTTTGGACTTAAGTATATTAAAATTTTTAAACTTACAGCAATAGAAGTGTAAATTACTCCAAAAGGTAATGAGTCTTTGCACATTTGTTTGTGTGCCTCACTCTGACATTTACTATGTAGAAAACATAAGAAACATGAAGCACCAATTCTACTAAGAGTAGTAGGTGTGGGCAACGCCCACATCAGCGTTATTAGAAAAAAGACAAAAAAAAAAAAAGTCGGTATAACATGTTATGGTGGTAACGGGGAACAACGCGCAGACTAATAACGTCTGATAACGGAGAAGGGGGCGGTGTTCACGTGTTATAACACCCAATAACTCCCCTTGGGCATTGCTCATACACACCTCTCTAAGAATATATATATATATATATATATATATATATATATATATATATATATATATATATATATATATATATATATATATCACCTGAGACGTGTCTAGTTCGAGTCTCTCCAACTCCAACTTTAAAGTGTCTACTTTGAGTCTCTCCAACATCAACATTAGATTTTCATGACAGTAGAAGGTCAAAAAATTATATATACCAATACCACAATTCTCATACAAATCATGATACTTCAGGTCTCTTCCATAATCAAGCTCTACGAAAAGAAAATCATAAGATTAGATACCCATTATCCATTTAAAAAAAAGACCATAAATTAGTATGTATCTATTTCAATAAAATAACTAATAAATAGAGATTGTATATAAGCTTTTTTGGAAAACAAGATTAATATATATACCTTTTACTTCCATAAGTTTTGCTTGATTGGCAAAAGTATCAGCTACTATTCTAGAACCATTTCCATGTTTCCTCAAGTAAGCAGCTTGTCATTCTGAAAAAAAAAATCACAAAACTCACATGACATAACACGTAATCGATATGCTTACAAGAGTACAATTTAAATGACTAACAACACAATCTCCTCTCTAATAAGTTCATTGGTGTCCATTATATCCCATAAATCGTTGGCATCCATTATATCCATGATCAAACTGTACAAAAGAAACAATAACAAGAGTAAATATACACAATTTACTAGGAGGAATCATCTTGATTTACTCAGGATAAACGAGATTTAATCACTATGTTAATGTCGATTGTTGGTCAAACAATCGTAAGGGAATCAACTAAATAATCAAGAAACCTCCTCACAATAATTATGATTGAGTTTAGTTTAGGAATATAAACCCTTACAAATAGTTACCATTGTATTTAGTTTTTTGGATTTAAATCCCTTAATTTGACAACATAAACTTTATAATATAAAATTAATCATAACATCATCATCTTGAAGCAGGTTTAGTCAAATCGTTAGCCGTTACATAGGGTCTAAACATGATGATACCAGTTTTTTTTTTTTTTTTTTTTTTTTTTTTTTTTTCAGTCACAACACATCACATGCAAGGGCACACCCCCACACCTTGGCAATGGTGACCTAAAAATGTTTGATTTGATATTTTCCCCCAACGAGGTCGGGGCTTCATTCAATAATTCCGGCAACCCATAAATCTATCCTTTAGGTTGGTGGGAGTGGTATCATACTTGTCAAATTCAACATAGGCGTCACGTCAGATTTACCACTCATTCAAATTTTTACCATTTACATGGTGGGAGTGGTGTCATACTTAAAAAAACACAAGGCATTTGAAATTAAACTAATATACATGTAAACTTAAAAAACATAAAACACTAGAAAAAAATTAAATTAAAAGACAACGAGTTTAAATTTGAGCAAAATTTGGGGAGTGCCTCCCAATTTGGTAAAACTCAACAAGCCGAAATTTTTTGTTAGTTTCAACACGGTAAACCTGAAGAGCATTCTCTAGCAAAACATTTTCATTTTCACCATTTCCAGCTTTTTGCATCACCCTACGAAACACACTGTTAAACTGAGTTGTAAGTGCATTTGCATGCCTCCATTTGTAGTTTTCTTCTTTACCTCGAGGGACTGGGGCTTCGCAATTGTATTTTTTGGTGACTCTCCTCCAAAAAGTTGTCATAGGCAGCTTAATATGGATTGGGTCTTCTGTAAAACCCATGAACAAGCCAACAGCATCACTTCTTCAGGAACCAAACACGAACCACATGAATCATGAGTGATGAGGTTTTGAAAAAGATGAAAATAAAAAAGTTCGGAGAATTGAATTAAGAAAATTTAAATGGGGTGAAGAATAAATAAAGATGATGATATTTATAGTTGAAGATTAAGGGTTTAAAATTTGAAATTTAAAAAAAAATGGTAATGTTTTTGAAATTAGATGGTTTCTTTTTATAAGAAGGTGTTTTTTTGAAAAAAAGAAATTTGAGTTAATGGGTAAAAAGAAAAGAGAATCACTATCTCTCTCATCAGTAAAACATCAGCGCGTTGCCAAGCCGCACTTGGCATGTCGATGCCTCTGCTCGATGTTTGCTGAGGTTGCCGAATAAGATGCTGAAGCTACTCCGGTGAGCCTTAAAAGAAATGAGAATTTAAATGCAAGAAAATTAATCGACGTACTATTACTAGAAATGCACATTGCACGAGATCACGGTGTTCAGCAATACGATGACCAATCGCCTTCCTTCTCGTTTTGCTCTACCAAAGGAGGGTTGTGTGCTGAATTGCTGATTTATAGACGTAGTCTGGATTAAAGGAATTTCACATAGTTCTGTTTTACCCTGTCTATTAGATATAATTTCACAAATAATCATTATGATTAACAAAAAAAAACCCATGTGGTTTTTAATGGAAATTTTGTTACATTAGTGATCTTTGACGGTCCTTTATGCAACCACCTTTATTTATAATTTTTGTATATGACAAATTATGAGTATAATTATTACAAAAATCCATTTAGGGGTAAAAACTGATAAATTGAGGTAAGCATAAGGTTTTTTATGTCAAATTTTATCTATAAATGTAGTGCGTAGATAATTCAAAATTTATTACTTTTTATTACTAAAATGACACGATTATCTTTGGAAACTCAATAACATCATAATACCAAAAAAAATTATTATTGTCAGATAAAATTGCAAATTTGTTGTTGTAGTTTGTTAATTCTTTTTAAGGCTGTAAAGGAACCGAACGAAAACGAACGACGATTTTTTAGTGTTTGTTCGTTTAAGTTAGTCGAACAAATAAATGAACACGAACAGATAAACAAACGAATTTATTGTTCATGTTCGTTCGTTTATGTACGTAAACATGCTAAACGAACAGAAACAAATGAACATAAATGAATAAAGATAAAAAAACATATGAACATAAATGAACATATAATATAGTAATTTAATTAAACACAATTAAACATATATAAACATAAAAAGAACTTATATAAACGAACGTTCACGAACATAATTGAAAAACGAGACAATTGTTCATTTTCGTTCGTTTAACTAAACGAACAATAATTTGTGTTCATGTTTATTCATTTATTTAATAAACGAATACAAACGAACTTTCCGCCAAACGGTTCACGAACAGTTCGTTGAACGTTCACTTCGTTTACAACCTTAGTTCTTTTAGCTACACTCCAATGACTTTTATGATTGTGTATATTGTCTTTTTGGCATCGTTTAATCGTAGATTTGGTCCAACTAATGATAGAAAAGGTACGGATAGATGACTGATTGGGTGTGGTGGTCCTATCTCCCCATCACAAATGACCACAAAAAGTCAAAAATGTCTCATAACTAGCCACCACTAACACTTGATCGGGATGATATTCACATTCATGGTTAGTGGCCAAGTAAATCACGAAATCTCTTGTGATGACAATTCCAGATGGTCTAACAACACATTTAAAGTGTTTGGTGGTAAAATTTGACATTAATCTAAGCTTATTGATCAAATGTATACAAACAAAAAAAAAGTGATTAAATATATACAATTTCAAAACTTCATTATGTTGACACGTTTATTGGTCGTCGGAGAATCATAGGAAACTAGAGATACCTTTAGTTAGCCATCATATTTATACTATTTAAACACTTTAGGAAAATTTATTTATTAAACTTATAATAGATATGACAAAATGAAAACAAAAATATAATTTAGTTATCTTTATAACTCATTTTCGTGTATCGTAATTATCTTTGTACAAAACTTATAAAAGTGTCATTTATTTCGTTCCCGGCTGGCCCTCACGCCCATCAGCACCCCTAAGGGCACGGTGAGGGTCCACAATGCACCTCAATTGACTCAATTTACTTTTTAAAATCATTCCTCCAAATAAACAAAATAACAAATCCTGGTTCAAATATATTTTTTTAATAATTAAAACAAATTTTATTAATGCAATTGTTTCCTTGCGAGTCAAACAGGGCGTCTTTTTGTGAAAATGAGTATCCCAAAATAAACCGGCTTCGCCTAGAGAAGACCTTGCTCTCATCTACCCGACTGCCGTCCTTGTATCTATGGCAACAAGACAGCCAGTTTCTCCATGTATTGAACGAAACCGATCAAGTATATTCACTAATGGGGGATTCGGTGTAAAATTGAATTCAGCTTCCTCATGATTTTAACCTTTTTCTCCTCCCTCTGTTTCATCGCATCGCAATTCTACGACATCGACACACCTATTTCTCCTTTAATTTCTGCATCAGCAATGAACAGCGGACCAGGACTCTTCTCTAATTTTGGCAAAAAAACAAAAGGTAATTTCAATTTGATTCACAGTTCATCTTGCTCTATTCATGTGAATGAACTTTGGAGTAAGTGTGCATGAGAATTATTTCACGTATTGTTGTTGTCTTTATAGATCTGCTGATGAGAGACTACCCGTCGGATCAGAAAATTTCCGTTTCAACGACCAGTGTCACCGGAGTGGTACGTAACTTTCTAACCTATGCAGTTTCTTCATTGATTTAGGTCATCCGCTGTTAGTTCTATGTGATTTGCGAACGGTGTTACATTTTTGTTAATTTGATCGCAGACACTTACATCAACTGCAACAAATAAAGGCGGTGAGTCAACCGGGGATGTCGGAGCAATGTACAAACACAAGAGCACGTTAATTAATGTCAAATTCGACGCACAATCGAATGTATGCTAGCTTCTTGCTTCCTTGATCTTCCAAATTCTATCACATAAGCACTATTCCTGCATCACCTCCATTATCACACTGATTTTGCAGATTACAATGACCTTAACATTAAAGGATATTGCGCCCTCAACGAATACCACTGCTTCTTTCAAGCTGAATAACTACAAATCCAGCAAGGTAGACCTTCAAATTTCATTTATATACGAACTTAAATTCGAGAAACAATCCAATGCAAGTATTCTTAATACTATTCATGCATCATCGTTCATGAATTCAGTGATTCTGCAGATTGCAACGACATTAACTTCCACAGATATTTTTTTCCCTTCAACAAAGGCAATTGCTTCATTAGAACTGCCTGATTTTAGATCTGGAAAGGTATAGTCTTCAGTTTCCTTAAATCTACTCATTCCTTCATGTAATTTGGGGTTTAAGGTTTTGAGTAACCATTTTTCTCCCACAGCTTGATGTTCACTACTTTCATCACCATGCTACTTTAACATCAACAGTTGCCTTGAATCACTCTCCAACCATTAACATTTCAGCAACAATCGGGACTCCAATTTTCGCCATGGGTGCAAAGGTAGGCTATGAGACACCTTCATGTAAGTTCACAGACTTCACTGTTGGCATCAGAGTTAACATACCAGATTCTACTGCTTCCATAGTTCTGTAAGCAATTACCCTTCAAAACATCATTATGTTAACTAACTCCATTTATCAACAACAAATCTTGCGATAATGGAATATAAATTTACTTTCAGGAGTGACAAAGGGGACACGATTAGAGCATCCTGTATACACCATTTTGATCGATTTAAAAAGTCTGCTGTTGCAGGGGAGTTTAGCAGAAGGTTAAAGACAAAAAAAACCAGATTCACAATTGGAGGGTGTTATGCAGTTGATGGTCAAACAATGGTCAAGGCCAAGTTGACCAATCATGGAAAGCTAAGTGTCCTTTTGAAACATGAGATTATTCCCAAATCATTCGTCACATTATCCAGTGAGCTCGATACCCAAGCCTTGCACAAAATTCCTAGGTTCGGTTTGGCTCTTGTTCTTAAACATTGATTGAAATTATGTAAAAATATTTGTACTATATAAGTTTATCAAATGCCATTTAATTCGTTATTTTTTTATTATTTTTTTTTTTTTTGTCACGGATTGATTTATTAGGGTTGTTTGGGATTGCTTATTTAAAACAATTTATGTTATAGTAAAAGTGTTTTAGCAGTTTATCCAGTGTCAAAAGAAGTTTAAAAAATGTTTAGATTACCTTATCTGCTGCCAAAACGTAATAAGTCGATAATCTTTTTTTCTTTGCATTTAGTTAATTATGCTAATATGTAGCGGTGAGCATTCGGATCTGTGGACTGGACTAGATCGCTACCCGGACTTGGACTAGTACCAGTTTTATGTAATAGGTCAGGTTTTCGATTCTTGGCTTGGCTTTGTTTCGGTTTTGGTTTTTTAGAAGGATCGGTTCTGCAGTTCCTAGGTATTCGACCGGTTTTTTTATGTGTAATATGTGAAACTTTTATAACTCATTCGTTTGAAATCAGATTGACATGAGATATTTTTACATGTAGTTTATAGTTTGTACTTTAATTTATGCTAGAATTTTATAATTTTTGGTTTCATATAATGAGTTACAGTCTCTCGAAGTCGGGGTATCAAACCTAGAAGTTTTCGCTATTGCTTCAACAACTTGTACCATATGTAACGGATATTGTACCAGTCCAATGGTACAAAAATTGGAAAACCAACACCTGCACCCGCACCGGAACCAGCATGTCTCACTAGGTTCGGTCGTGGTCCAAAGAATTCTCTAAACCGATTCGATTCACCAGCTTTGGTCTGATTTAATTCAGATGATCACCCCAACTTATATGTGTTATAAGGAAATAACTTAGAAAAAAACTTTTTAAATAAGTCGATAAAAAGGAGGAAATAACTTATTAAAAACTCAATATTTAAGTTAATAAATGCTTATAAAATGTTATCGAAACACCTCAAACTCCTTGTTACTAGTATCAAACCATAATAAGTTAGTAAATATTTGAAATCAACAATCAAAATTATAAGACTCATGCAATACATTTTATTCATATGCACTAGATAAATTTAAAGTCTTCCACCAAGGTTCGTTGGCCTAGCGGTATTAGGAAATGACAGATATGTGTCCTTCAGCCGAATGTTGAAGGTTCAAATCTTATTATAGATGAAATGTATCAATTTAGGAGTAGAATAATGGGGTGTATAAGTAGTTTAAAAAAATGAGAATAAATAAAGTCTTCCACTTTATTGTCGTATACAAATAAAGTATTCTATGTTATTGTCGTTAAAAAACGTCTTCCTCTTTATTAGAAGTTGATATAGTTACCACATGATATTTGTAAATAAAAAAATGCCAAAGTTAAATGATATAATGTAACATTCCAAAAATACAGATAAAAATTTTTGTTTTTGAATTCATTCCATTCATAAGAAATTGATACCAAAGTAATCAAAAGAGTCACACTGTATCATAATATCAAAATACAACTCCCAAAATCACTAAGTGCAGACAAACATGGAGTGATGCGGTGTGATCAAGCCAAACCCTTCCCCTTCAAGCTAGAAGTACTTGAAACAGAAACTAAAAATTGTAAGCACACAACTTAGTGAGTTCCCCCAACATACTACATACTAATCAAACATATTACACAAACATATTGAACAACATAGTGCCAAACATATCTGGGTGCTGGCCTGCCCTTTCAGTCTATTTCAACCGGATACTGCCAAGCATATCTGAGTGTTGGCCTACCCCTTCAGTCTATCTTAATCGGATATTGCCAAACATATATGGGTGTTGGATTGCCCCTTCGGTCTATTTCAACCGGATACCGGGTCTATTTCATCCCTACTACTACCACATAATATTATAATTGTAATCACTGAGTCATCATACAACTACATACATGATCGACAGTTATCACAAAGACAATCATCATGCTATAACTAGTGGACCGGATTTGGTGCCTTCGACCCACGACTACTGCGAAGGAAGACTCACCTCAAACTGTGGGTGTCAGATCGTGCTCAGCGGATGACTCGCGAACTTCTCTTCCTATCGCAAACATAATTCCTAATTAGCAATTAGGTCACATTCTAACACGAAGGTCCTAAAACCCTAATCCCTGACTTAAGGCAAGAGGTTCCTTTACCTTTGCCTTATTGGGCCTCCTCGCTCCAAGTCCTAAATCCATAACAGCCCAAAAGTATCCAAGCCTAACCAAAAAGGCTTCTAAGTTCCAATGTGGCCAAAAGACAAAATAGTCCTAGGCCCAAAATGCCTTGATACAATAAGTGGGCTTGAGGCCCAACCTAAACAAATCCAAAGCCCAACAAAACTGAGAGCCCAAAATCCTTTTTGCCCACTGTTTGCGTACACGTGACGTACTCAACATGTACGCCCAACGTACACTGGTGTTGACCCGGAATCCAGGTGTTGACCCAGTACGTGCATCGTACATAGGAGTACGCCCAATGTACTGGTTTGCCAACCCGAAACCACCTCCATCGTTTCCGTTAAGACATAACGCCCAAAATTTAGTTCCAAGCCCCTAGAAACATCCTAAACCATAAGGTTGCAAACTTTATGCTTTTGCATGTGTGGTTGGGGCTCCAAAACATGAATCAAGTCCATAAGCACATTTGGTTGGTCCCTAACGCTTGCATGGTTGATGCTTAACCATAAAGATCCAAATTTTATGACTCACAACACCTCTAAGAGCTAAAAGGACAGCTCATATGGGTTAATGTTCCTTAACTCCAAGAATCCAAAATATGGGACCAAAAGATGACATTTTCCACCCTAAAACTAGATCTAAGAATGCAATTGTCAAGGTTCAAACTTTATACCTTCAAAGAGCTAGAAATGGTGTCAAACTTCTGAACATACAAGCTCCTTCCTTGCCCTTGCTTCTTTCCAAACTTCCTTCTTCTTCAGAACCAACAAAGATCACCAAAAATCACCAAGGTAAGCTCAAAATTGCATGCAAGAGGGTTAGGGTTCGAGTTTGACACTAAAAGGACAAGGTAGGCTGAGAGGGTGAAGATCATGAGGGGCTTAAGGTCTTTAAATAGGGTGCAAACCCTTAGCTTCAGGAGAGCCATATCCCCAACCTGAAACTCCAAGTCTGATCGACGCTTGTCGGCATAGCTTTTCTGCCAACTCTGAGTTGTTTATAGCTTGCTACGAACCTACTGAATCAGCTCGGTTTGTCTTGATTACAACCTCAGTGATGGGTTTTGAGCACTCTAACAACCTTAAGGTGCATATACAACCCTAAATGCTTTGGATCTATGTTTTCTCTAATTATACATGCAATTTGATTTTTCCAAAGCATTACCCTAACTAGCATACAAAACTTTCACACATGTATAATAAAACTAGTTAGATAACATACCTTTCTTGTAGCTTGTTACTTGGAGCTTTAAGAGCCTAGCACCAATAATGTGAATGCCTCAAATGGAACCACAAATCACCACTAAAAATTTGAAGACTTGAGAGTGAGTATCTTTGCACACAAAATCGGTTATGCTCTTTGTAGAGTCCCAAATCCAGGAACCAAACCAGTGATCAAACAATAGCAATCAATCAAACAGAAATAGAAATTGATCAAGCAATGCACACGTATTATTGCAGGCCCGCAAACATGCCTGGTACACCTTGACTACACACACTTACACCGTGAACTCTCTGATAATGCTACTGACACAAACTGACACACACCTATATAAAGGGACAGACTTGCTGTGAACAAGATTCACGGCCAAACACATGTTCACAGCCGTGAATGCCTTCACAACCGCAAACAACACCAAAACATACATAGAAAGACCAAGACCCTATTAAGACCTATACAAATAATTTCCTTGCCCAAACCACATATAAGTATGTCCTAATAATCTCCCCCTTGGTTTGGGACTAGCATGAACTCAGTTCTACTTGAACACCACGTCTAATTTTCCCATAGCCCCCATCCAAAGCCTCTTCCCAATGATCTTAGCAACCATGCTTGTGAACTCTTTGGCCATTGGCTCCATGAGCTCTATTTTGCAAGTAATTTGGTGTTGAGCCAAGGTGTGTATATCTCGCTTCTAGAACCACAATAGTTCTTTAGCATCAACAATACGAAGAACAATATCGCTATTAGTGAACTTGATTGTTGCTGTGGCTATGACCTCATCAAAAGCCCAAAATTCTATACGATCCAGATATCCTTCATGGAAATGTTGAGGATTAGGAATTTCTTTCAACTATTTAGTCAGAGGCCACAACACTATCATCATTGGCTCGTTGGTTCTGGGATCAAGCACCTTTTTGTCTCTTCTAATGAGCGAATATGCAGTTTTTATGCCGACAAATTTTTCTTTGACCTGCCTTTCCAGAAAGAATTTGAAATTAAAGGCCTTTGGATCCTTAGAAGGATTGTGGAATCGAGCTTCTGAAAGTTCTTTTAGATCGAATTTTTTCCAGGAGCTAAAGTCGTGAGTATCCTTGTAGTAATCCGTTTTGCCATGGTTCCTCTTCACCACCCACATATTTAAGTCATTGTGAAATCCCCACATTTTAATTCCTGATCGATTTTCGAATTTGTCTTCGAACCTTCGCTTTTCAAGATCAATTACTGTAAGTTGGGGTTGGTTTGCACGACAGTTCTCATTAGAGTTCCGCATGAAAATCTATCCTTCTTTCTTCTCAGCAGTAACCTTTCTCTTAGCTTGCCTGATGGTGATTCGAGGGTTGGCTTGGGCAGGTTCCTTTTCAAAATGATTTACAACGATTATGGTTCTGAGGGGTGGTGAATCCAAGATGTTGTCATGTTGAGTAGTCTGGATAGGGGCACTGGAAAGATCTTCAGTGGCGATAGATTCAGCTATTGTTGATTTGAACTTATCTCCAAACTCAGCTGCCAACTTGTTCTTCAAATCATAATAGCATGCTGTCAATGCTCCAAGGTAAGTTTGGAGATCAGATATTTGCTTTGACATTGATTCAACTTCCTGTTCGAGATCAGAAACACGAACGTCGATCTTTCCTATCAAAATATCTTTCTCAATAATTATC